CAAAGGGCCAAGACAAGGAGATGAGCGATGCAATGTCTTATACCAGGAACAGCTAGCAGGTCAGTCTTACTAGAACAGAACACATATATAAAGGATATGAAGCCAGTGGAAGTCAAACTGTGCAGAACTTTAAATGATATTTTATCCTAAGAGACAATAGGGACCCACCCACTAAAGATTTCTGAGTAAGGAGGTGAAATGATCAGATCTGTGTTTTAAGGAATATCAATGTGAAAGTTAGGTAGATGAACTAGAAACAGGGAGATCAATTTGAATTTCATAATTTATGCATTCCTGAGAGAAAAACGTGGTAAATTTTGTTATGCTGTAATCACATAGAAATAGGTTGAGAAAACATTTAATCATTTAACGCATTAAATTTGCTAAAAACAAATTCATGGGGGCAGCTAGATGGTGCAGTGTATAGAGCACCGGCCCTAGAGTCAGGAGGACCTGAGTTCAAATCCACTTCAGACACTTACTAGCTGTGTGACCCTGGCCAAGTCACTTAACCCCACTGCCTAGCAAAAAAACAAAAACAAAAACAAATTCATATACTTTCCCACTCTGTAGGAAAGTATACGAAAGAAGTGGAGTCATGGACCTCTTATATATCCAGTATGTCTACTATTAGTAAATATTTCTGAGCAGATACCAAAAAAGCTAAGCTGTTTGCTGCTATTGATCAAAAATACTTTATCGGCAGTCATTACTACAAACATATATCAAAAAGCCACATTAATGGGAAACCAACAACTAAATCACCATAACTTCAAATATGAGAAAATTTATAAAAATAGTAACTCTCCACACTTTATGGAGTCAGAACATATGAGAATACTACCCATCTTCCATTACCTTGAATTTCCTATCCACCCTCAAATTCCCCTCATACAAAAAGTTTAGAGTCGGAACTTTAAAAAGATAACAAAAAGAAGTAACAGATCCAGGATTTTGACTGACTGGTAACAATAGGAAAAAGCTGTCCTTTGAAGAAAAGAACTGGATTTCTTAGGAGTTCACAAAAATTCCATTCTTACCTAAAATGGACAAAATAAAAGTGTCTGGTATTCATTTATATGCCACATAAGAACAAAGGTTTTGCAAAACCTGCTTAAATTTAAAATCAAGTTGTTTCTGAAACACATTTGTCTGTTTTTTTGTGGAAAGGAATTCAACAAGCATTTATTAAGTGCGCACTATGTGCCAGGCACTGAACGAAGCATGAGGATACCAAAAAGGCCAAAAACAGTCACTGCCTAAAAGGAGATCATAATTTAATTGGGAAAGTATTTGCAAAATATTTTAAAATACACAATTATTAAGTATTTTGCATCAAATATATTCAATGAACTACTGAAACCATTATAAACTATTTCAAACTAACATAATTATGGCAGCATTTATTTCGAATTTTTATGTAACTATAAAGGATTAAGGATGTCCACTAATACTCAGTACACATTTATAAATTATTGCTTGAAGGCAAATTCATCATAAAATGAATTTACACAATCATTTTCAAAAATACAAAATTGAGAAATTTCACCATCATGGCAAAAACAATTAGAAATTTTCACTAAATTATGTTTATCATAAATCAAATTCAAGATATTTTACCTTAAGCCAAAATTTCTACATACAGGGTATTCCGAAAGTCACAGTGTAGTTTTATCTCTTAAAGCTTAGCTACAGAGCATGGAATTTAATAACCAAAAACACATATACCTCAGTATTTTGTGACTATAATGTGCCTATTAGGGCCAGAAAACTACCTTGAATATTAGTCTAATCTAGAGGTTCTTACATCTTTTAAAAATATTGATAACCATTTCAATATAATTGTTTCCTTTGTAATAATATGCAGTTAATGTTTTTAAAAACATTATTCTGAAAAAGGGGTCCCATAGTTTTCACCAGACTGCTAAAGGGTCAGTGATACAAAAAGTTAAGAAACCCCAGTCTAGTCCAATCTCCTTATTTTACAGATGAAGAAAATTAAGCCCAAAGAGATCACAAAGGCAGGCCTGGGACTAGAATTTAGATCCCCACTTCTGGTTCAAAACACTTTTCACTTACCATAAAATTCTGCAGCCAAAAGTCCTAAATATCTTTTCCAACCCTAAAGTCTTTATTCACTGTATTTAATTATGCTGCATGTTATTCACTAAACAAAACACTTCTTTAAAATCCATATTTTCAAATGTCATTAAAGTAACTTAGCAACCTTTTTATCAAAAACATTTAATGTATTAAGATGCACAACAAACCAGAAGTGAAAAAACTTCAAACTTCCCAACTTTAAAAATAGACTAAAACCAATTTTATTTTCAAACTATTTAGTTTCAACTTTTTCACACAAGTTAATGTTCAACAGACAACTGCCATCATGTCTGTTACACAACTATTACTAAGCTTTCAATTCCAGTTTCGAGAACAATTACATTCACAGATTGCCTCAAATCCATTAGGTATTCAGCAATTTAGGTTGAGAGGGAGGAGGGGGTAAGCACTTTGGAAAGAATACTGATCATTTAATCCTTTAATATCAAATGCCATCCATAAGCTCTTAAAAGTATTTCTGCAGCTATCACATTTAAAACCCTGAACCCAGTATATGGGTGTAGAGTGTGGGGTGAAGAGAAAGACAAACCCTGTTCTCTCTTTAGTTGGTGGGTGGGGAAGAGAAGTACAGGTCAAAGATCATCAACTACAATTCATACAAACACACTCAACTAATGCAAAAAAGTAAAATGTTTATTTCAGAAACAAAACACTAACCACACTGCATTTCTAACAAAACACACATATGCAGTTAACAGTAACTGAGTAACTGATCTGATGTCTATAATATTGTCTCCTAATTAAACTTTACAAGTATTACAATGTAAAAAATATGACATTTTATGCACCCATAAAAACTCAACTTAAAAATAGTAAGAAATGCTTTATATCCAAGCCTGAGTACAGCATAATGGCTCCTCCAAGAACAAAGATCCTTGAGGATACACCTGTTGCTTTACAAAACCCCAGTCTGGGCCTGAATCATTAATAATTCATTATTCTGTCAGCTTTGTAAACAGAACTCACAAGTCCTTCTATTTAAACAGGAAACAGATCCTACAACAGGCAACAGTGGGTTTTCAAAGAGAACATATGGTTTAAAAAAAAATTACCTACAGATGTTTTTACAAATACTTTTAAATGCCCTAACCATGCTATGCGTTTGTCCTTAGGGTTCGATCTTATCCTTCCCGCCCCCCCCCAATCAAGGTCCTTTGACAGGAATTGAACAAATACAGATTTAAGGGTTTTTCTTGCGTGTGCCATAGAGCAAAAGAAAAATCAAGAGGGGAAACTCATGATAGGGATCGGACAGAACTTTTGGCAGTAAATTTTCTAGCTTGGAAAGTCCCCTGGCAGAAATATATTTGCAGAGTAATGATTCCGTGTTAAGCACAGATCTCAACACGCAAATCCCAGGGCCTGCAGTGTGTGGAGAGGGGAGTGCGGGGGAGGGAGGGGGGAGAGAAATGGGGAGAGGGGGGTGGTAGCGGTGGAGGTGGGGGGAAGAAGAAGGATGCTGGGGCTGGACGCTGGACACAGGATGTCTGGAGCCTGCCAGGGAGAGACAGTTTCCAAGAGCAGACAGTGTCCACACCACACCCCCCCTCCACCCCACCGCCGGCACCACCCCGCCCCCTCCCCTCGACAGCGCATGCGCATACCAGGGCTTCCCCATTCACCCCTATGGGGATCACTACGGAGCTGACGGGGGAAACATGGAAATTTCATTGAAGAAACGAGAGTGAATCGAGGAGCCGGGACTTGTGCAGCTGCCAGACCCGAGGCTGGGGGAGGGGAGGGAGAAGGCAGGGGAGCCACGGCGCGGGCTGCCCCGGGGCGCAGGGATATGGGGAGGGGGATGCAGGGGAAGAGTCCCGGGGGCGGGAGAGGTACGCGAGTAACCGGAGTCCGGGGCAGCAGCGCACGCAGTGCACGACCCGCAGAGGCCCGGGGCGGGGGTCCGGCCAGGGTCGCCCCCGCCCGCCCTCGCCCCGGGGGAGCGTCGCCCCCCGGTTCCCCCCCTCCACCCCCCGCGCGCGCCGGTACCTGTCAGCCGGATCTTGATGCTGGAGCCGTTTCTCCGAGTCCCGGGGTTCGACATCTCTTGCCAGCGACCGGGGTGGGGGGGAAGGATTCACCACAGCCCGTCCGAGTGCGCCCCCCGCCTCGGCCCTGGCCCCTGCCTTCTTCCTCTTACTCTTCTTCCTCCTCAAGGTTAAGGGTTCGCCGCTGATCCCCGGGTCCGAGCCTCCGGGCCACAAACTCCAAACACCGGGACAGGGTGGGTGGGGGGAAAGGGGGCGGGCCCCACGATCAAGCCCGGAGAGGAGCAAATTTCCCACCACCCCCCACCCGCCCTCCCAACCAACCCCCAGTCGAGAGCCACCGCCTCCTCCTCCGCCTCCGCCTCCTCAGAGCCCGAGACCAGCCGCCAAGCGAGCGAGCGCCGCCCTCGCCGCCGCCGCCGCCGCCGCCGCCGCCGCCTCCCGGAGCCGCGCGCGCTCCCGCCGCCGCCGCCGCCGCGCCTCCGCTTCTCTCCTTCCTCCCCGCGACGCGCGCGCCCACGGGGGCAGCCTGCCTTTCCCTCCCCCGCGGCGCGCTCCCGCGGCCGTTCCGTTCCTCCCCCCGCCCAGCCCGTGCGTGCGAGCGTGCTTGCCCCGAACGTGAGGCGGAGACGCAAGGACGTCGCTGACGTCGCTCCCCGAGGGGGAGGCGGGGAAGGGTCTTGTTCGGCGCCATGTTGCGGGTCTCCTCGTAACCTGGCAGGGGGAGTGGGGCTTCTTCCATTTTTACGCTCGCACGTGTTGAGCCTTATCGGCTGCGCCTGAGAACGTGGGAAGAGGAACCGCGAGTGGCCGAAGGGCCAGTCCGGGTGCCACGACCTTGTAGCGGGGTCGGGATCGGGGAGCATGCCAGCGGGGAAGCTGAGATGGCTAACAATGGCACTCGTTTCCATAGCCTTTCTGTAGGTGGGTTGGAGTCTGGAAGTCAGTTAGTAGTTGTGCGATCCTAAACAAGTCAATCTTGAGTTCAGTCTCAGCCCTGATTTCCTCATCCACCATGGGGCTGCTCCAAGTAGAACCAGTCTCACTGTGGTGTGAGGATCAAGTGGGAAGATTTTGCAAACCGTCTTGCAAACTTTAAGGCGCAATATAAGTGCTAGTTACTCTTAATGAATTCCCCCTAAAATGCCTCCTCTCATGAAGATTTCCTTCCTCTCCCCACCCCCAGCTCCTATTTGAATCTTCCCCTCAAGACGCCATGTGCACTTAACCAACACACCTAAGGATACAGGTTTCCACACCCACAACCCCCACGAATGTTTGGGGGGTTTTGAGGTTCGGTTGCTTTCTCCGTTTCCCGCTTTTCCTTCTCTGCCCTATCCTCTGTCCCAGACCATCCACATCCCATTGGAGCCGCTTGGCTGCTCACATGGCTTCTGTGAAAGTGGTCACCAACCCTATTCCTTCTGATGAGAAGTTGTTAACAGTTGTTTATTTTGGAGTCTTACACACCTACTAGATTGCGCACTCCTTGAGGGAACGGTCTGTATTTAATCTAAATTTTTCTGCTCCCCAGTGCCTAGTTATGCTGTTGGGCCAGTGTTTGCCGCTTATTGTGCATTTTCTTGTACTCAGATAGCAAGGAGGATTTTCCATTGGCATTTGAGAACCTCAGATAGATAGGAAGTTGCCATATCTAGGATGTTTGAAAAATATGAGATGAAACTAGCATTATCCAGGTAAGCAAGTCACTATGGTGCACCTGCTATGTGTTCAGCCCAGTGATTCAGAAGATGATTAAGAATTATGCCTTCAACAAATATTCTTTGAGCTAGTAGAAGCTAGTAGAATAGTCAGTGGGTTTTTTTTGCTGAATAACAGGCACAGCCCTGATATGCCAGTCTTGTGGAAGCAGCATTTCTGATAATTTAAACTTCCTTTAGAAACAAGACGCATAAAGAGAAAATAAAACCAATCACTCCATTTCTGTCAGAGGTAAAATTCTTAATAGAATCATATTTGTTGAATGACCATGCACTTCAAAAAAATTTTTATTGATACCATATTTTTATATTATCTACATTCCTGTTACAATTCTCTGCCCTCCTGTTAACCTTTATAACAAAGAATTTTTTTTTAAAGGAAAAAAGCATTTCAACAAAACTAGCCAACACACCAGGTCCAAGGTGTACAGGTGTCCACACTCATAGTTTCCACTTCCATTTAGAAAAGGGGGCGAAGGAGAAAGCTGGTGATTCCTCTACTTTGCCCCTTGCCTTCTCTGACCAGAACCATACAACTGCCATCCCAGCCACTTGATTGCTCACAGAGTTTCAGTGAAGGTCACCAACCTTATTTCTTCTGATGAAATGGAGGATCATGAGGTATGCTCTCAAGACCTCCAGTTTTGTCGTCTGACCTACAGATGTAACCTAAGGACCTCTGAGTTTTGCCATTCCACTGCCTGCTGCACCCTTAGGACTGAACTTTATATTACGTGTTATATCCTGCAGGTAGAGTGTGAGCTCCTTGAGAGCAGAGACCATATTGTTTTTTCCCTTTGTGCACTCAGTGCCTGGTATACAGCAAGTAATTAATGCTTTTTCATTCAGGCACCCAGGCTAAGTTCCAGCATTGTAATTTTAAAGCATTTTGTTTCAGTAGTTTTTATTTTTCCCTTTTAAATTGTAATCATTGTGTACATTGTCTGCTTCCTTTATTCTTCATCAGTTTGTCTTCTCCATGTAGTCATCATATTCCTTTTTTTCAGGTTTTCAAATAAATTTTAATTGATAACTTTTTCACCTATATTTCCCAATACATGGCTCCCCTCTCAGAGAGCCATCTCTTATAATTAAGAGTAATATGGGAGGGATGGCAATTAGTTCAACATAACTAACTAACATCTTGAAAAAAATCTGACAGGCATAGTCCCCCAGCCTATGCAAAGAACAGCAGAAGGTATATTCTTATATCTCTTTGGGTACAAGCTTGATCATTACTGTTTCACAGCATTCTACAGTTCTGCTGCTTTTGTTCTCTCCATTTATGAATTGTTGTCATATATCGTTTTCCTAGTTCTGCTTACTTTGTTTTTTATCAGTTTATATAAGTCTTCCCATGCTTCTCTTGTGTTTATTGCTTCTTACAGCAAAGTAATATTCCATTACATTCTATGTAACACAGTTTGGTTAGCTTTTCCTCAATGCATGAGCATCTACTTTGTTTCCATTTCTTTGCTACTATAAAAAGTGAGGCTAATATCTGGGAATGCTGTATCTACAGCATTCCACTGATCTACCAGTCTAGTAACCCTATCAAAAAAGGAAATGAGGTTATTCTGGCATGACCTGTTCTTGATGAAACCATGTTAACTATTTGTGAAAGGGACTTCTTAAAGATTCTCAGGTTGTTCCAGGTACTGTGGAATCCATAGTATTTGACTTTTTTTTTGTTTTTTTTGGGGGGGGGGGTATGTGTGAGGCAATTGGGGTTAAGTGACTTGCCCATAGTCACACAGCTAATAAGTGCCAAGTGTCTGAGGTCATATTTGAACTCAGGTCCTCCTGACTCCAAGGCCGGAGCTCTACCCACTGTGCCACCTAGCTGCCCCAACATTTTTTTTTTAAAGACAAACCTCATTTGAGCCTCACAGCAATCTTGTGAGATAGATACTACAGGAATTATCCCCACTTTACAGATGAGGAAACAGACTCAGGTTAAGTGGCTTAGCCATGTTCGAAAAGCTAAGCAGTAGAAATAGTGAAACCCAAGTCTTCCAGATTGCAAGTCTTAACACACTGTCCATTAAACCAAAATGCCACTCAGACTTACGGGATCTGGATGGATCTAAATCATCAATCAGACTTCCTTCCTCCTCATTTTAAAGTAAGGACAGTGGTACCCTTAGAGGTTAGGTTACTTACTCATCATTACATAGCTAATAAGTAGTAGAACCAAAAGTGCCCAGTCTCACTGATTATTCTTAATTGTCTATTGAACCATAAAGGAATCAAGTGTCTTGAATTTCATCCTGAAATCTCAGGAAATAGTGGGAGAGGTCAAATTTTGGAAAGGGTAAATATAATATGTTAATAGGTTAAAATATATCTTCTGACCTAGAAACATTTTCACCAAGAAGAAATAGTTTTATCCATCCTATCCATTTGTTCCCATTTGTAATATTTCCATGCATCATACCAAGTTCTCATACCATGACAAATTACCATGAAAAATATGGAAATAGTAATAGGAAAAGCTGAATGTACAGGGGCAGCACAGCACCTTCCATATCATCATTACCACTTCTGAGGGCTTGATGGACTGCTATCTTATAGCTAAAAACATGGGATGATAACCTTCCCCTTGTGTCAAGTAAATTTTGAAGGTAATACTCATAATGGACTCAGGTCTGTTCCTGTATACTTCTCTCTGGGCTTTTTGAACTAACCACTACTGTCTGCTTTCCTGATCTGTCATCCATTTCATGCCCCCTAACTGGGTGTTCCCCTAAGTCTCTGATTTAGGGTCCCTTTTCTCTCTATACTCTGTTCTTTGATGAACTTATTCTCTGTGGCTTTAATTATAAATTGTATGAATAAATGAATAAAGATGCATTAATTAAGCACTTATATGTGCAAAGCACTGTGATAAGGACTATGGATCTGAATAGAAAAGCAAGGCAGTCCCTAGCGTTAAGGAGTTCAAATTCTAATGTATGAAATAATACATATTGGAGGTTTCAGCTGCAACTCAGATGGAAAGGTCCTATGGTCCTTAGGTTGCAGTGGTGACGCAGATGGTGATGTATGTTCTTTCATGTCATTTCTCCTGATGATCATATCCATTTCTGATGTTGAACCATTTGACAATGCCAAAAACTTTGGTGTCAAGAATTTTATTTTGCGGATCTTCGGTAGCTCTGGATGCTGAAGAGGCAGGGGGCTCCAGAACCCACAGAAGCAATTGCCAGGTCACATTCCATGAGGATGGCTTCCTGTGATAATGTCTTCTGAGACCTGGGCTGGAAACAGGACTGATGGTGTGGGGGAGGAAGATGATGCCACACCCATGGTTTATCTGCCTTTGGTTAGCCATTGGTGTTGGTCTGGCAAAGTCTATGTTATCTATGCTGATGACTCACAGATTTATACATTCAGCCCCAGGCTCTACCCAGAGTTTCAATCCTGCATGACCAATATTGTACATTTCAAACTGGATGACCCAGAGACATTTCAAACTCTAAAATGTCCCTTCTCTCTACTCACAAACTCACCAATTTAGTTTAGGCCCTAGATTATTGCACGTGTCTCCAGATTAGTCTCCCTACTTCAAGTGTCTCCCTACTGTAGTCCACCCTATACATTGCTGCCTGGGTAATTTTCCTTAAACATAGATCTGACTATGTGACTTCACTACTCAGTTAACTCTGGTGGCTGCCCATTGCCTCCAGGACAAAATATAACATGGCAAGTTTTTAAAGCTCTTCAAAATCTGACTCCAACTTACCTATCTGGACTTAATAAACATTCTCCTTCAAAAACTTGGTGGTTCAGGCAAACTAATGTTCTTATTGTTCTTCATTCATAACATTAATTCCCTGTCTCTGTGACTTTTTGATGGCCTGGATACATCCTCCCCCCCCACTCTAAAAATCCCTAGTTTCCTTTAAAACTTGGTTCAGGTGCCATCTTCCATATCCTTTATCCTTCCATATCCACCTTTCCTAATCCTGCCTCAAATCCCCTTGTGTATGTTGTCTCTTACCTATGGAATATAAGCTCCTTGAGGGTAGAGACTGTTAGTTTTGTTATTGTTAGTTTTGCTATTGTTATTACGGCCTAATAAATGCTTGTTGATTGATTGATTGACTGGTAGATGTAGGATTTAGATCTTGAGATCATCTGACTGAATCCCTTCATTTTGACAAAAGGCAACAAAGGCCCAGAGACATTAAATAATTTGCCCAAGATCACTCGGGAAAGAAAGTGGCAGTGCCAGGATTCTAAACTAGGTACCCTGACTGTAAATCCATTTCATTTTCTACTACAACATATCCTTTCTGGGATGCATTGATTAGGATTTTCTTGCCTCTTACTGATTTGTCTTGAACAAACATTTTAACTTCAATTTTCTCATCTATGAAATAAAGAGATTAGACTATATCAGTAGTATCAAATTCAAATAGAAACTGGACCCATTAAGTTGTATATCAGGAAAACCACAGATTAACATTATCGATGTTCTATTGTATTTTTATTTATTTTGTTAAATATTTGCCAATGATATTTTAATTTGGTTCAGCTGTACTCAGGAATGCTGCAAGCCAAATGCCCCAGTGTGTTTGGCACCTCTGGACAATATGATCTCTATAGTCCTTTCCAGCTCTAAAAATTCTGATTCTAGTGAGCACATTCTATGG